CGTCTTCTTGCTGGACTTCAGCTTGTAATGCACGAGCAATCGCTGGAGAGCTTCAGGCGTGACTGAGGCGGAGACATTGCGGAAGACAACCTCAACTGCAAGCGGGTTAGTAGTTCTCTCCCTGACGAAGGCCGGGTTGTCAGTGTGCTGCCAGTAGAGCCTGACCAACTTGCCATTAACCCTCTGATAATCCACATCGAACTGACGCACCCCATGCGCGTCATCTTCCAGCAGGAACGAGACCTGAAGTCTGCAGAAGCGTATCTTCGCGATGTATGCCGGCTGCAGGATCTGAAACTTTGCAGTGTTAGCAGCATCAACAGACAAAACAGAGCACCAGACCCGCTTCATCAGCACTTTGACCGTCGAGACCACCGAGGCAAGTTCTTGAGCGAGCATGAACGGGATGAGCAGGATGGCCGTATGACGCAGATTGCAGAGCTCGTCCGTCATGAAGTCAATGTCCAGCTCGTCGTCGGAGTCATCCTGAAGCTCTTCACCGACTGCAGGCACTTCTGCTTTGCTTTCCGCAGAGAGTCCAGAGGAGCCAGCTTCTGATGATTGTCCCTTCATTGTCCTTGACTTCAGACACTGCTGGAGTGACGACCAGTGGAGCGTCAGGGTCCGGCGTGATCTCCGTGACAGCCTTGCGGGAGGCCTTCGGCGGCATGATGGCGAGGGTAAACTGAGAAGGAGCCTTAAGAGGCTGACGAGAAACTAGGGATGATGAGATCCAGTTTACAAGAGGCTGTTTAAGTTGGGAAAAACTGTTGGTCGAGGACCAGCTTTACAGGAGTTGATGCTGGGTTTCCGATGTGGAGAAACCTGAGTTGTAAAGTCCCAAGGTCTTGATAAGCTCTTGACCATTAGGTGTACAAATGCGGTCGTAATAATAGGTGGAAATAGAGCTGTCCGGCCTTGAAGTTAGAAGCTTAACCTGCAGAGCCTCGAGATTAACAGCATGAAACCTGGAGAAGCCCGAAAGCGAGTCAGATATGGTACCCGTTAAGAAGGCACGAAAGTTATATCTAACTGCACGCCGCGATGAGCTGAATCCAGAAATGCTGGTGTTATAAGCAGAAGCTAAGTGAGCTCTTAAAGCGAATGAGTTAAGCGGAACGGCAATATCCATGGCGGCCAGATCTAGTTTTCTCCCAGCTTTCGTCTGCCAATGACGTGGCAGCAAAGGTTCGTTTCGTGACGTGATTGTTTTTAGTGACTGTATACAGAAAACAACCCGAATATACGCATACTATATCGCAAAACTGTGTTTCTGTTGGTGATTACACCTGAGAACCCGCTCGGGAATAATTTGAGTATGTATGAAGTTGGCCGTACATCCATGCATGTGTATTCCTTGTAGCTGCTACCGACAGCTAGATAATCTGAGAGCCTCGCCTGGTACGTTGCCACGTGGTATTGCTGCTAGAGTTGGCTGGATGTGTGAATCGCGAGCAATGGTACAGGTGCTGCTTCCACGCGTCAGAATTAGGGGTCTCGAGACCCACCGCCAAGCTAGGGTGATTCTAGCAACATGCTTAGCGCGACTTGATCAAAAGATTACTCAGACTCATGCGATGTTCTTCACTCTAAAACGGTCCCCGCGAAGACTGCTTTGGTTTCCGACACACGCCTCGCGCCTTACCCACCCTTCCCCTGCCTTGCCGTGTCGCGCTCCCGCAAACTCCGTCTGCCCGCCGCGCCGTGGTGCCGCAGTGCACGATGGCTGACCAGCGAAGGTAGGGTTTCACGATGGTGCGAGAACTTGGCGAGCGGCGGAGTGTGGGACGACCAGCAGATATGGAGTACGAGGAAACGTATCAGGTCCCGTCTGTGAATTCTACGAAGATTTCTCAGTCTCCTCTTCACCATGCTTCAGGAAACTCCAAACGTCCTTGATATTTCTACTGGCCGCAAATATTCCACGCTAGTCACTTGCGGGAAAGGTTCTAGTCACCTCTCAGAACTTAGACATACCGATCTAGGCTAGTCGGTTCCAGTTCAAAGTTGGTAGTTGCGTCCCATGGCCAGCCGTTGGGATGCGGTGGTGGGGAGAATGCACGTTCTTGGAGTTTCAGAAGCCTCTGACACTCACCAGCACGAGGTGCGTGCTAGTGATGCCTCTAATAGCCACTGATGTTTCGCATCTCGTCCTCTTTTAGTTCTTTCTCCCTCTGTCTCTCGCTCTCTGTCTCTCTATATCCTTTACGCGTTCTTTATTCATCTCTCCCCACCCACCAGAGCATGGACGTGGTTGATCTGCTCCCCGGTTCCATCTGGCACATCATCTTCCGCCACCTGCTGTTGCCGCCAGCAGATTCCACTCACCTGCACACTCGGGGTGACTCCTTGGGAGCATCGCAGCAAGGAGCGGGCAGCATCTCGCGTGCCACAGCCAGTCAGCTGCGTGCCTTAAAGCAGCATGAGGAGGAAGCCAGGCGCTTTGGCCCCTCCTGGCCTCTGCTGCTCTGTGCCATGGCCAGCAAGAGGCTTTTTCACCACATTACCTCCTTCTCCGTGAGTCATGCACTGCTTCCCGATTCCACGCACCTGCTTCTCTACCACCACCATGTCACCTCCTTCTCCGTGAGTCGTGCACTCGTTTTTTTCGCGTCCATCTGTGTAACCTAGTTAACCACAGTGTTTTGGTTGCTAAACTGTTGGTTCCAATGTCCTAGTCATAAAGGTGGGTATTAAGCTAGTTCATCTGTGTGAGTGCAGGAACTGGAGCCCATCTCCCTTGTGTATGACAGTCAGGAATTTCAATGGACAGGAGAGATTTCCTGGTTTCTCAAGTTCCCAGGTCACACGTCTCTTGACCTCACTTTCACAAGCTTGATGGATCTGAAGATTCTCAACCGCCTTCTGGCATCCTCTGCACATTCCCTCACGAGCCTGTGCCTTAGGTTCAGACACATGTCTTCCGGATACGTTCATATTCAACACCAGATGATCAACCCGGGGTTTCTTGTACATTTCGAGCAGTTGCAGCGACTGACGCTTGGCAGTGGGAGGTGGAAACCAGGCAACCTGAAGGCTGCATGGTTCAAGGACCTAACTGTTAGCAATCACACCGCAGCTGCATGAGTTCTCTCTTTCCTCCAAGAGCCGTCACGCATGCCACCTCAGTTTTGAATTCTCCGCTGCGCGAATCATCACAGTCCGTTTCCAGCAGCAGAGGATCAACCTCTGCTTCTCCCTCCCTCCCACTTTGAAAGCCTTTTCAGCCACAGCAGCGGAACTGGAGGTCAACTGCACGTGCTCCAGCCCTCTCGCTCTCGACTCGCTCACTCTCATTGGCCGCACAGAGCTTCTCGTCTCTTCACTCCCACTGGCTTCCGCCAAAATCGTCTAACGGACCAACAGCCATCAAGCAGTCCAGCTCACCTTGGGAAGACCTTTTCGATCGCACCTCCATCTCGCAACGTTGCTTGGCTGCTACTGAAGCATCCTTGACACAGCTACTGAGCAGCATCGCGCCAACAGTGGAGATGCTGACAGTGAAGCATGGCATGCCGCTTGAGAATGTGTCGGCAGAATGGAGCCGCCTGTGCCGTCTCTCCATTGGTGTGAACGGCAGCAGGAGAAGTGGTGGTGGGAGGTACACGGCTGCATTGGATGACGCTGAGTTCCTTTCTCTTCTAAGGAGGGGCTTTGTTAAAGGAGAAGGGAACGGTAGCGGCAGCAAGGATGAAGCAAGCAGCCCTCCCTTAATCAATGCTCCGGAGCTGCACTCCATTTTCTTTGCGACGCAAGAGTGGCACCATGAGACCCTGGTCTCTCTACGCAGGCACTTCCCCTCTCTGTCATCCTACTGCATTGTTGGGCGTTCCTTCTGCTGGGAAGGGGAGGGGGAGAGGCGGAGGAATGAGCCGGTAATGCAAGTGAGGAGAGGTGATGCTGCAGCAAGCAGGAATCAGGGCATGTCTCAGGATGATGAGGTCATGATATTCCTTCAATCTCTCTGAGCTGCTTTATGTTTTGAAAGATTTGACATGATGTGCTGTGTTTGTGAGTATCGACATCCATATGCACTTCAACGCTCACATCTACACCCACTTTTATGTCCTCTCCTCGTCATTTCAAATTCCACATTATGTGAGGTTGATGTGATGATGCATCAGGCAGGCACGTGCTGACGGTGCCTGCCATTCGTGCATCAAAAGGGTACTGCCAAGGGTGCCAGGTCATTACAGCATAGTGTTTTATTAGGTTTTTCTTCATTAGAGTTCACCAGTTTCAGCCCCTAACAAATGTGTTTGCTCCTAAGAATGCGTTCCAGGAGCTTGGCACCAGATTGGCTGGTGCACAGCCACCTCAGCTCTGCCAAGTCTTACATGTAGCCATGTATGTTCTGTTGCTACTATCACTTTGTTGCCAAACAGTCTACTTATGGGCCAACTTGCAGCAGCAGAACAATCATGACGTCTAAGGTATATTCAACTTTATGACGTGTAGTTATGGCTTTTTACCAGAACTAGGCTTCGGTCGTAGGTGTTTTGTGATTGCTCGAGTGGCATGGCAAGCAACAGGGAGAACGACCAAGGCAGATATTGCATACAGCGAGCAATCCCAGTTATCTTGTTCCTTGGTCCGACAAGGTCCGTCGGACTGTCGAACCAGAGCAATCCCTAAGCTCTTTCCTGTCTGGGAATCCCAGACAGATTGCGGCTCGACGATTGCGACATGCGTCAAAAGTTCAGAAACTTTCGCGCAAACGTCGTGAAACCGCCCGAGTGGTGTCTCGGCTGGAAAATGAGCCGCGAGGGAAAATCATGTAACCAGCGTTACCCTCTTTATTCACTACATAAGAGTTTCCCGAGATTCGAAGGAAAGGCTCTCGTGTTGGTGTTGGTGTTCCTGAGCTGTGACTTGTTTCCAGTTGGTGCTTTGCGAAAGCCTCCTGGATTCGAACGCGGGCGTTTTTTGCGTATGTCGATCGCGCAGCTGATTCATGCCGCTGATGGCTAGCCACGGAGATGAGGCGATAGAGGGAAAGCATGCTCTCAATCTTACAGCACCCTCTAATGCCAGGAGGCGCCATCAGGTGAGATTGATGCCGCAGACAGCGATACCGATCACACCACGTTTTTCAGCGGATCCCTTCGGCTTTCATCACATTCTTCGTTTACAGTATGTAAGGTTTCCTTTCTCTCTTTCTTCTCTCCCTCTTTCTCCCTTTTCTTGATTTTTTTTTTCTCTCTTTCTCTCTCACTGCCAAAGGAATGACGTGGCTGACCTGCTAGATGCCCCCATGTGGCACACCATTTTCCGGCCTTGGGCTAATCCTCGCTCTCCCTCTCTCTTTCTTCTTAGTCGAAACATTTCTCATCTTACCGAACACTTCCTCACCTGCCAGGTGGACGTGGTTGACCTGCTGCCCGGCCCCATCTGGCACATCATCTTCCGCCACCTGCTGAAGAAGCGGGGTGACTCCTGGGGCGCATGGCAGTGGGGGGGAGGCAGCGACTCGTATGAGGAGAACCCGAGGCGATTCGGCTCCTCCTGGCCTGTGCTGTGCTGTGGCATGGCCAGCACGAGGCTCTTCCGTCATGTCATCTCCTTCTGTGTGAGTCATCATCATGTGCTGCTCCCTTCTCCCTTCCCCCTTCCCCCTTTCCCCTTCGCCCACCTGCTTCTTTACCGCCATGTCATCTCCTTCTCCGTGCGTCGTCATCATCATGTGCTGCTCCCCTCATTCCATTCCACCCACGTGCTTCTTCACCACCATCATGGTGCTGTCATGGTGTGAAGAAGCACTGTCATTCCACCACCATCATGGTGCCATCTCCATCTCCTTCTCCGTGCGAGTCACGATGCACTCTCTCTTTCTGCATTGCATGCAACGCACAACCATCTCTGCTACAGCTCATCTCACCGCATCGCGATTTCTTCTCTGGGTGCTGAGCTCAGCTCTACTATCTCTGCGAATTCGGCTAACCTCACGGCTAAGCTCACGGCTAACCTCACGGCTAATCTCCTCTCGCATCTCTATATGTGCAGGAGCGCGAGCCCATCCCGCTCCTAGTGGACACTCACGAGCCCCGGCTGGCAGGAATGCTCTCCTTTTTCCTCAGAAACGCCGCTCACACATCCCTCAATCTCCAGCTCAAATCCTCCGACGACCTACCCAGCCTCACCCGTCTTTTGGAGCCGGTCGCGCGCTCCCTCGCTGGCCTGTGCCTTGACGTGCGGGACTCTCCCGGGCCTTTGCTGGATCCGGCCTTTCTCGGGGAGTTTCAGCAGCTGTAGCAGCTGGAGCTACGCCTTGGGAATTGGCTCCTGGGCAACCTCAACCCAGCAACGTTCCAGGCTTTAAGGATTCTGAAAATCCACCTTTTGGAGTCCAACAGAAGGGACCTGTCCTTTCTCTCATCCATCTCACCACAGCTGCATGAATTCGCTCTCTCCTCCTCCAGCATTGGTTATAGCATCCTTAGATTCAAGTTCACCGCTGCTCGAGCTATTACAGTTTGCTTTGAGAGGCAAGCGGTGAACCTTCACTTCGCCCTCCCTCCTTCTTTGAAGTCCTTTTCTGCCTCTGCGCATTCTCTTAACGTCGACTGCACATGCGAAAGCCCCCTCTCTCTCGACTCTTTCTCTCTCAGTGGCCGCATGCAGCTCAATATTTTGTCGCTCCCATTGGCGTCTGCCAAAGCTGTCTACGTGAACGCTCAAGCCACCCAAAATCTCGACTCTAAGCTTGCCTTGACCCAGCTGCTCAGCATCATAGCGCCTACAGTGGAGAGGCTTATAGTGAGGCACGACTGGCCTCTGCAGAACGTGCACGTGGAGTGGAGCCGCCTGCACCGCCTTGCCATTGGTGTGAACCGATTCAGCACTGAGGGGTTTGGTTACACAGCGCAAATGGACAGCGCGCACGATTATTACTTCTTTAAGTGCTTCGGTGGGGAAGGAGAGAGCAGCGGCAGCGGCAGCGGGAGCGGCAGCAGCAGCGGCGGCAGCGGCGGCGGCGGCGGTGGTGGCAACAGCAGCAGCAGCCCGTTCATCAATTCTCCGAGCATGGAGACTATCTTTGTTGCCACGTACAAGTGGCATCCCAGCACTCTGGCTTCTCTTAGCAGGCAGTTCCCTTCCCTGGCATCGTACAGCGTTATTAATCAGTCATACCGCTGGTAGGGGGAGGGGGAGGAGTGGTGCAATCTGGTTGCATCTCGTGTCACAGCAATAGCATGGGATAAGATCACGCTCTTTCCCATGCCATGGGTGGGGGCATGGTACTGGCAGGATGATCGGATCGCACCAAGGGTGTTTCTTTGAACCCTCTGAGGATATTCATGCTTGAGGGAAGAAATGGAGCAGGGTGGGTGAGACAGTGAGTGCTGGAACAGAGGTTCACAGGGGTGATGTGCGAGGGAGGCGTGTGCAGGGACGAGCAGGAAGGGTGCTGTGCCTTAAAGAGTGGTGGTAGTAATGGTGTGACAGTAGGGGTGGTGTGCTCATGTGTGGTGCATGCTACTAAACCCATGGCGATGGGATGGCAGTGTGTGCTAGCAGTGGGGATGGCAATGGTGGGCGTACATGGTACTGCTGCTTGCTGTCAGCTGAGCACAGTAAAACAGGGAAGTTTGTGAAGGCTGATAGTTATTTAATGATGTTTTTTCTGCATACTTCGTATTGATGCTAGTGTTGATGTTGTGTTTTGTTTGTTCTAGGGTACTTGCCATTGTTGTCCCTCCCTCCCTGTGCTTCGCAATTACTTCCTACTCGAACTCGCTCGCCCGTGCATTCAATGCTTCCGCCATCGTCCAGCTGTGCGGGGAGCTCAGCTCACCCACCCATACATCACTATATGTGAAGAAGAAACACCAACGGAACACAAACTCGTAAGCCTCAAGTGCCCCACTCTCGCACGCTCCCCGGAAATGATCGGCTCGGCTGTAGCTTGTATGTGTGCACGTTAACCTTTTCATGGATGCCTTCCCGTAACAGCAACGCAAGGCAACCATATCTACAGGAGAGCCAGCACAAGGCCCAGCGAGACAAGCACGCGGAACCACATTACAAGGCAACGCAAGGCAACTACCATGGCAAGGTACTCACTACAGGGTCTACAGGAGAGCCAGCACAAGGCCCAGCGAGACAAGCACGAGGAACCACATTACAAATCCTATCGGTGCAACTACAGAAGAAAAGCCAGCCTTGGGCACTGCCGTGCAGTTAGCAAGGAGGACATGGCCCGGGGGTGGGGAAGCACAGTCAATGAGCAACACGCCCTCCTGCTTTTGCTTCCCACTCCCCTCACCACTGTCTCCCCCATCCAGCAGGAAGAAATCAACCAGGCGGTGAGCCGTGAAGGGCACCGGCTGCCACACCACCACCTTCACCACCATCACTCGCTTCTTCGCCCCTTTCTCTGCTGCACCCACCTCTACTGCCTTGGCTTTGCTTCCAGGCACCGTCAGCAGTGCTTCCTGTGCCGTTGCTGCCGGTGCCGTCGCTGCAGCTGCTGAATCCACCGCTGCTGTTACAGTCACACTGTAGTTGATCCCTGCGCCCTCCACCACATTCGCCCTCGCTACAATGACGTCCAGCAGAGTCACATTGGAGAGGAGGCTGCTGTTCCGATTGACTTCATCCAGGGCGAAGAGAGCGAGGGAGCGCATGGAGAAACCATTGTAGGCGTCGGTATAGGGGGCGGTAATGGAGGCATTAGAGGAGGCATTGGAGGAGGCATTGGAGGAGGCATTGGAGGAGGCATTGGAGGAGGCATTGGAGGAGGCATTGAAGGAAGCAGTGGGAGTCGTTGAATTGTCAGCAGTGGCAGCAGCAGGGATGAGCACCCACCCCTCATCCACACACACCCCTGCCATGGCCCGTGCCAAGTCCCACTGCAACACGCCACCACCGCCACTGCTGCTGCTGCTGCTGCTGCTGCTCGCATTCCTCCCGGCACACCCCCCTGCTGCCGCCACGCCCATCTCCCCCGCTGTTGCATTCCGCTGCGTCCCCGCCACCACCGCAAACGCCGTCACATTCACCAACCTCCTCCCGCTCGCGTTCCCCCCTTGTGAAGTATCAGGCATGGCGCCACTGTTGTTATCTAGTGCGTGCGTGGCATAGTGTGCCGCCATGCCGGTGGTGTTATCTGCTGCCAGCAGTGTGAGATTGTACTCCCTGTATCTGTATGATGGCACCAACACCTGTGCCTCCAGCACCGAGATCAAAAGCAGAGCTGTGCCCTGTGGGGGGAGAGAAGGCAAGGAGGGGAGCCAGCAGCAACAGTGTGAGCGTGTACTCTCTGTCTCTGTATCCCGGGTATCCCGTGCCTCCAGGACCGACCAAGATCAGCAGCAGCGCGCTTCCCTGTGTGTGGAGGGGAGGGAAGGACGGGAGGGAAGGACGGGAGGGAAGGACGGGAGGGAAGGACGGGAGGGAAGGAGGGGAGGGAAGGACGGGAGGGAAGGACGGGAGGGAAGGACGGGAGGGAAGGAGGGGAGGGAAGGACGGGAGGGAAGGAGGGGAGGGAAGGACGGGAGGGAAGGAGGGGAGGGAAGGAGGGGAGGGAAGGACGGGAGGGAAGGACGGGAGGGAAGGAGGGGAGGGAAGGAGGGGAGGGAAGGAGGGGAGGGAAGGAGGGGAGGGAAGGACGGGAGGGAAGGAGGGGAGGGAAGGAGGGGAGGGAAGGAGGGGAGGGAAGGAGGGGAGGGAAGGAGGGGAGGGAAGGACGGGAGGGAAGGAGGGGAGGGAAGGAGGGGAGGGAAGGAGGGGAGGGAAGGAGGGGAGGGAAGGACGGGAGGGAAGGAGGGGAGGGAAGGAGGGGAGGGAAGGACGGGAGGGAAGGAGGGGAGGGAAGGACGGGAGGGAAGGACGGGAGGGAAGGACGGGAGGGAAGGAGGGGAGGGAAGGAGGGGAGGGAAGGAGGGGAGCGAAGGAGGGGAGGGAAGGAGGGGAGGGAAGGAGGGGAGGGAGCCATCAGTGTGCCACACCAAATACTGCGAGTGGTTGAGTCTTGGGATAGGCCTTGGGATAGGCCTTGGGATAGGCCTTGGGATAGGCCTTGGGATGGTTACTCTCTGTATCCCGGCACTACCACCTGTGCCTCCAGCACGGGAATCAGCAGCAGTGCGCTGCCCTGCGGGGGGGAGAGGGTTGGAGAGAGGGCGAGGAAGTGCCTGAACATGTGCCTCAACGTTGGCTTTCCAGCAGCGAGATCAGTAGCAGCGTGCTGCCCTGTGGGGGTCGAAAGGAGGGAGAGGGAAGGAGGGGGGGGGGGAGGACGGAAAGAAGTAGACAGGCTGAGCATGGGTCTGAGCATGACCATGGAGAGAAGGGAATGAATTGCAAACTGACCCTTGTGGAGGGATAATTCCATCCCATCCCACCCCATCCCATCCCATCCCACCCCATCCCATCCCATTCCATCCCACCCCACCCCACCCCACCCCACCCCCTCACCCCATCCCATTCCATCCCATCCCACCCCACCCCACCCCACCCCAGCCCAGCTCAGCCCAGCCCAGCCCAGCCCACCCCAGCCCAGCCCACCCCACCTCACCCCACCCCACCCCATCCCATCCCACCACTCACCTGCCTCTCATTCTCACTCGCCACCGCCCCTCGTGCCACGCGCTGCACGTCAGCATCTGACGGGTCAACGTAAGTGAACTCAATGCCACACGGTATGGGCGGCAGTGACACCACGTGCCTCAACGCCTTCTCCTGCTCCTCGCGCGTGCTCGCACGCTTCGACCCGGCCTGCATCGTGACCGACCGCAGCACATACTCCCCTCCCTCTCCTATTTTGAGTATGAGGGAGGGAGCGGGAGGGGAGGTGAACGACTGCAGCGTGACCGACTGCACCACATCCTCCCCTCCCTCTCCTCCTCCTGCTGCTGCTGCCACAGCCGTTGCCGCTGCTGCCACTGTTCCTCGTCCTTCTCCTTCTGCTGCTGCTGCTGTGGTTACCACCGGTGTGGCTGCTGCTGCTGCTGCTGCTGCTGCTGTTGCTGCTAATGGAGGGGCAGCAGCAGGGGTTGCGGATTGCGCGGCCACGAGAGGGCGGCGGGAGAGGAGGGCGTCGAATAAGGCGGTGCGGCCGCGCAGCAGGCTGAGAGCTGCCAGTGACACGCGGTACTCCTCCCCGCCTGCGCTTGAGTTGCCTGCGCTGCCATTGCCTGCGCTAGCATTGCCTGTGCTCGCATTGTCTATATACTCTACAGCCATAATCCAGACCGGTTGTAGGCTGTCGTTCTGGCGTGGGGGGGCGGGAGAAGGGGGGGAGGAGAGGGGGGGGGGGGGTGAGGGGAGGAGGGAAGAAATTGACGAGAGAAGGGAGGGCGAACGGGGAGAAGGGGAGATGGGGAGAAGGGGAGATGGGGAGAAGGGGCGGTGGGGAGAAGGGGCGGTGGGGAGAAGGGGAGATGGGGAGAAGGGGGGGTGGGGAGAAGGGGGGGTGGGGAGAAGGGGGGGTGGGGAGAAGGGGGGGTGGGGAGAAGGGGGGGTGGGGAGAAGGGGGGGTGGGGAGAAGGGCAAAAGGAGCAGCTGTGCTGCTGTAGTGCATGCAGGAGACTCTTTAAAGGTGCAACCCTCAGCCAGCTCAAGTTCAGGAGTGCTGCTCTTGAAAGGAGAGTCTTCAAAGAAGGAGAGTCATAAATGGAGAGTCATAAAAGAAGGAGAGTCTTAAAAGAAGGAGAGTCTTAAAAGAAGGAGAGTCTTAAAAGAAGGAGAGTCATAAAAGAAGGAGAGTCATAAAAGAAGGAGAGTCTTAAAAGAAGGAGAGTCTTAAAAGAAGGTGAGTCTTAAAAGAAGGAGAGTCTTAAAAGAAGGTGAGTCTTAAAAGAAGGTGAGTCTTAAAAGAAGGAGAGTCGTCTGTCGTCTGCAGCCTGCCGCCTGTCGCCTGTCGCCTGCCTCGCCGTGGCCTCGCTCTGCGGGTCGCGGTGAGACAGCTGGAGTTGAAGAGTGAGATGCAACACTTGTTTTTTAATCGTTTCAAACCCGCGTGTGACGAGACTGATTATGAGTCGACTAAAAAACAGACTCATCACACGCAGCGGCGGTGAGACAGCTGGAGTCGAAGAGTGAGACGCAACACTTCGATTGAGAGCGAATCGCGCCTCACCTTGGCGGCGTTGTGCTGTGCCACGGCGAAGCGCGCCATGGCGATTTGCTCCTCATCGGTTAGCCAGTGAAAGCCGGGCTCCAAATCAGGGCTCGGAGGGGAGCCGTCTGCTGCTGCCGAGAACATAGGCGGCGGAAGACACGCACGACACGTGGATGCCACGTGGGAAAGGATAAGGAGCCACAGCGGAAAAGTCAAGCACCGCCGAGTGGCAACGCGACGGCTCGTCATGATCGCCGTATTTACTAGAGTGAATCTGAAGCGAGCAAGGTCTCAGTTCGCGTGACTGATAAGCGTCAGCACTGGAACGGGGCCCGCCGCGTTCACCGGAACATACACCGGGTGTTTGCTCTTGCAACAGGAATTTGCGACTGGCAAGTTGAATGGATACGCAGTAGCGTCTGCTTCCACAAGATTGTAGTTTTTCAACCGTCTCCTGAATCATGAAAAGCTTGTGAGTCGAGCGGCACATGGGAGACAGTCTGAACGCATCTCGCTGAAGTTCGTAACCTAATATATGACGGTCCCGTCCCCGTTGCCTCAAGAGGCATGGCGGGAGGGCGACGGCGTTCGCAGCGGAAGCCATTGCAGAGTCAGCAGAGGATGTGAGAAGAAGTTGAGGAGGGAGGGAGAATAGGCTGAACGGATTTGACAATGACGCCCGAGGAGACTTGCGGGACTGTCGACAAACTCGAGGGCGAGCTATTTCGCTGCCAGCGAATGCTGGAACTCGCGCGGGACTTGCGAAGAATCTGTTACCTGAGGGCGTATTCCTGGCTTGGTTTGTGTTGAGGCATTCTCAAATTCTTGAAATGCCTCAGGATTCCTTGGCATCATCTGCTTCGTTCTCTTCAGTGGTTTGTGTTGCTCATCGAAATCGAAACAACCGAGGATTGATAGTTACAACACTACTGTAGTTGAAATCCGAATTCGCTTTGTTTACCAAGTTCGCATTGTCCCCGTGGCTTGGTTATCCGAAGGGTGGTTCAATTTTCCCCTCGTTTGCTCAATAACCATCCCGACCAATGTAAAACTTTATTTCACCGTTGAAAAACTCGAGGGCATCAGAGTTTCAGCAACTGTGTGAACCAAGTCAGACAGGAGCGAAAGTCGGCACCACTTGCGACACAAGCACGTTACCTGCTACAAGTTTTTCGCTTGAATCCCTTTGGATCTGACGAATTTCGACATCGCGTAAGATCGCGTTCACAGCAAGTTCCCCCAAAGCGAACCGCCCCAAACAACAGTGCACAGATCTTTGTGAAGCACGTGTTTGGGTTTGCTACTTCGCTCAAACTCGTCTACCTATGTATCCACATTCGCATGGCACGTGGAGTGGGTGTGGTCGGTTGCAAAACTGCCACGCTGGACCGAATATTCGCCCTGCGCGGCTCGCTTTGGGGCGGTTCGCTTTGGGAGAACTTACTGTGAACGCGATCTAAGACAGGAGGGTAGATGTCGGGCCAACATCACAGGCATGCAAAACAGTCTGGTAACCCTATTCGATTGTATGCAAAACCGTCGATACCCCAGTTCCACTGCGCAAATCTGTCTGGTACCGCCACTCAAAACACTGTGTAACAGCTGACGCAGCACAAAAAGAAAGCAATACGTGCAACAATCGAATACGCTTTCGATTTCTTCTCATTCTATTCTTACCGCGCCTTGTTTGGCGCCTGACAACGATTCCTGCGGGCAACAATTTTCCGTTGAATGTGCACGATAATTTCGACCGGAAAATTCGTTGGAATGAAAGTAATGTATATTGCTACCGGGTGCTGTTAGGGCAGGCAAGAAAAAAATAAAACCCCTAGGGACCGGGACTCATTTCAGGGAGGGATCAACCCTAAACACGGGAAAGGGCATTGTTTTTAGGGTTGATGCCTCCCGAGTCGCACCCCTTTCCGATTGGGTTTTATTTTTTATGCAGGTGTAGCGAACAGTGCTGCTCATATGGCAGAACAGTCGCCCGAATAAATCGAGTTTTATAGGACAACAAAGCGTGATAAAAATCTGATTTTGAAGTACATAGAACCGCAATTCTAGGGCAATATGTCAATAACTCCGAAACCGAGGTATCGACGGTTTTGCATACAATCGAATAGGGTTACCATACTATTTTGCATGCCTAAGATGTTGGCCCGTAGATGTCTTCGAGCCATTCAGCGTGACGAACCTCGCACAACCATGTAACGGGCATTTTAGATTTCAGTTCACGGACTGTTGGTTCTAATTCCTAAGACTGCCACGTGGTCCTACATCCCCAAAATGGGGTCCCCCGAAAAGTATGGTTTCGGGGAGTATGTCTGACGTAACAAGTTGAACTGCGTGGGGAAACCTACTTTCGACGCGTCGCGTCGAAACGGAATCAGCCCAAGTACCTTCGGAACTCTCGAAAGGGCTTGGGCAGCCAGCTTGGCAGCTTCGGAAACCACCCGAGTGGCTGAGCATTTTGGGTGGCAGCTTCGGCGGTACATCACAGCTTCGGCACCTTTCAGGAAGACTGGAACAGGGCTGCCGTGTCCCATTGGCTCAGGATCCCCACCGAAATTGCTGTGCTTTGGATAAAACTTAATATTATACACTCTCTAGAAACTTTGAATGTGGAAACGAAAACATTATATACTGGCTAGAGAATCTTGTACCTGTATGGGGTTATATTAGACATCTGATTCTGCTATTTTAATTAATGATGCATTTTAAATCCATTGGTTTTCCATTACCATTAACATGATCTGAACATACCATCTCAGCAGTCAATTCCAATACGATTATGTGTTATGCAAATTGGTGTGTTGTTGCTGACGGCAGTCGAGCAACGTACCTGATTCTTGTGAAGCATCTTTTGATACTATATACGCAACATTCACAGGTTATTTGGATATGTAAACAAACATCCGTTCAGTGAAAGGTCAAATCTGTTCAAAGATAGCCAGTGATGTCATTATCAGCAGTTCAATACCCTTCTTGTATCTTTTACTCCGTTTCTTTATACCAATAGCACCAAATATGTATCTATGTGTGACTATCCGGAATTGAGATCATTCGCAATTGATTTGGATCGGTAAACAAGCGTCCGTGCGCAACGCTGGTCAAATCTGTGCAAGGATAGCCAGCCATGTCACTCTCAGCAGTTTAGTGTCATGTTCGTATTTATTAATCCTGTTTTTTTGTACCAATAGCCTCTACAATGTATCCATGTGAGACTACCTAGCTTTTAGATCAGTCGCAGCTGATCTGGATATGTAAACAAGCGTCAGTGCGCAATACGGGTCAAACTTGTGCAAGGATAGGCAGTCATGTCACTATTAGCAGTTTAGTGTCATGTTCTTATTTTCTAATCCCGTTTCTTTTGACCAATAGCCTCTACAATGTATCAAGGTGAGACTGACCAACTTTGAGATCATTTGCAACTGATTTGGGTAGGTAAACAAGCGTCAGTACGCAACACGGGCCAAACTTGTACAAGGATAGGCAGTCATGTCACTATCAGCAGTTTAGTGCCATGTTCGTATTTTTCAATTCCGGTTTTTTTTTACCAATAGCCTCTACAATATATATAGGTGAGAATACATGGCTTTGGGATCATTCGCAGCTGATTTGGATAGGTAAACAAGCGTCCGTGCGCAACACGGGTCAAACTTGTGCAAGAATAGGCAGTAACGTCACTATCAGAAGTTTAGTGTCATGTTCGTATTTTTCTACCCTGTTTCTTTTCACCAATAGCATTTACAATGTATCTAGGTGAGACTACCTGGCTTTGAGACCAGTCGCAGCTGATTTGGATAGGTAAACAAGCGTCAGCGCGCAGCACGGGTCAAACTTGTACAAGGATAGGCAGTCATGTCACTATCAGCAGTTTAGTGCCATGTTCGTATTTTTCAATTCCGTTTTTTTTTTACCAATAGCCTCTACAATATATATAGGTGAGAATACATGGCTTTGGGATCATTCGCAGCTGATTTGGATAGGTAAACAAGCATCCGTGCGCAACACGGGTCAAACTTGTGCAAGAATAGGCAGTAACGTCACTATCAGAAGTTTAGTGTCATGTTCGTATTTTTCTACCCTGTTTCTTTTCACCAATAGCATTTACAATGTATCTAGGTGAGACTACCTGGCTTTGAGACCAGTCGCAGCTGATTTGGATAGGTAAACAAGCGTCAGCGCGCAGCACGGGTCAAACTTGTACAAGGATGGGCAGTCATGTCACTATCAGCAGTTTAGTGGTGTGTTCGTATTTTTTAATCCCGTTTCTTTTGACCAATAGCCTCTACAATGTATTAAGGTGAGACTGTCCAGGTTTGAGATCATTTGCAACTGATTTTGGATAGGTAAACAAGCGTCCGTGCGCAATACGAGTCAATCTTGTGCAAGGATATGCAGTCATGTCACTATCAGCAGTTTAGTGTCATGTTTGTATATTTAACTCCCGTTTGTATATATATATATATATATATATATATAGAGAGAGAGA